CGCGGGAACCCTGTGCAGAAAGTTAGACAGGGGAAGAGCACCACCTAGTGGAGGAACAGTGGTAATAGTTGGTTTGCGCTGGATTCCCTGCAAAGATGTTTTTATCCGAGTCTGTAATGGATAACGAGCTGTTTAAAATTAATTGTCTGATTTATTTTTGTAGACAATTTAATGTAAATAATTGGAAGTTTTGGATGTTTGTATAGATTAGCATCATTTGTGGTTTGTTTAATGGCATTTGTCCTTTGTAATGCTGAAGAGTCAGCCTGAACGCGTCCTTCAAACATGGAGAGTTCGGTCGCTCCAGAACATGGAAACGTTTCCCTGCGTTCAAACCGTCACACATTTTGTCAGAATAGAGTTTGTCTTTTTAACGCCTTTAACCGTTTTGTAGAGATGATGATAGCATTAAAGCAAACAGATCAGGAAATGGAAGCGGAAGCTAAGCGCAGCGGATGGCTGTATTTCCTGGTCTCACCTGGAAATCGGCCGTCTTGGGGTTGGAAATATGAACGGCTTTGACGTCTGAGATCTTCTTTCCAAGCTTTTCTGCGATATCCTCTTGCGAACACTGCGGGAACCCAAATGAGGAAAACGATCACATCTACAGGAAAAAAAATAAAAAAAAATGAGGCAGGAGTTTGCGTCATTCAGGGTTTTTCTCACCAGAGCAAAGTTCAGAGCCTCGGTGAATCCAGCGGCTGCCATGTCGTGTCTCAGCAGCTCAGTCAGTTTGTTCAGAGGAAACTGGGAAAAATAAGAATTGTTAAAATAAGACGGGACGTTTTCATCTGTTTGGAAAAAGGAGGTTTTCCGGGGAGCTGAAGCGGGGCACCTGGTTGGCCACGGTGTAGGTGCGCGGCGTCGTGCGGGGGACGTTGTTAAAACCGTAGGCGATGGCGGCGTCCTCCATGATGTCGCAGGCGTGGATGATGTCGGGGCGTGTGGGCGGGATCTCCACCTCGATCTCTTCGCCGAGGGGATGGGAGAGGAGGCACATCCGGGTCAGGAGCTGACAGATTTGCTCCGCTGACTCGCTGACAGGAGGAGGGAAGAGGAAAACGATCAGGCCGCTGCTTCAAAGCTCCTTTAATCTTTCCTCACGTCAACGTCTGGTTAATCTGAAGACCGAGATCAGCTCAGGATTAACTGGATTCACACTCAGNATCAGGCCGCTGCTTCAAAGCTCCTTTAATCTTTCCTCACGTCAACGTCTGGTTAATCTGAAGACCGAGATCAGCTCAGGATTAACTGGATTCACACTCAGATGATCTAAAGGCTGGTTTATGCTCAGAAACCAGGTGGTCTGTGTGTGTTGCAGTTAACAGCGATATGCCCCGCCCCCTTCCGCAGAAACAAGTGTCCCGCATGCTCGGTAGAGGACGCAATGACATCACAAGCAAGCGTGCTCTGCGTTTACAGAAGTAAACATGGATGGTAGCACCAGCGCACATCTAGCGATCTTTTCCTACCATAAAAACTATCATTTCAATATAGTTAAATATAAATACTGCTCTTTGTATCATCATCCATCATGGTTGTTGTTTTCCTTCCTGCTTCTGCGTAGCAAGATGCAGAATAGTGACCTTTGTTGGGTATTAATGGCATTCAGGTCGGAGGAATGCGACCTGGCCGTTCAGACACAGGTCACATTTAAAAAGATTAGATTGGTATCGTATTCAGGACCACAGAGCTAAGTGGCCTGGGTCGCATTGGAAAACATCGGATCTGTGTTGATCAGATCCAGGTTTCATATGGAGAAAAACCAAAAAAACTAAATCCGATTTAGGTGACTTCAGGCAGCTGTGTTACCTGATGCCGACTTTTCTATTGATGAACTCTCCAGAAAGCTTCTCCTTCCTGTAAGTCAGTTCCTGCAACCAAGAAAGAACGTTTAGAAACGATGCAAACGGAGGGAAAACGTCTCAGAAGAAGAGAAGAAACAGTACGGGGTAGGTGAAGATCTGTCCATCCGGGTAAACCACCTCCGCCTGCTCCACCCTGCAGAAAAGACAAAACCACACAGATTTACTGCAGGTCAAACATTTAATATTTAGTGTTGAGGGGATAAATAACCAGAAACTGACAGAACTAATCTCCAACCACCTTGGATTTCAGAGACTAGATACATTTAGCATGTAAAAAAAATACAGAATTTCTTGTTGAATTGATTAAATTTTTTTGAAACACTTATCTTTAAAGATCAGACATAAAAATCTGTCACCTTTTGGAGAAATTTAGCCATTTTAAGCTCTAAATTAAGACATTTCTCAACAGGAGCTACAGCGCGGGATTCTAACATTAGCATGAATCCGTCTACATGACTGGATGGTGTTGAACACAGCGGGAGTTGCTAGGTGACCAGAGGGCAGATGATGGGCACAACTTAGTGGCTAAGATGGTTGGACTTATTCCCCTTTCCCACTGGCTGAACGACCCCTTTAAACT